CATGTGTGTATTGATTGCCAGTGTACTGTATTGGGGTACTGTATAGCTGTATTGGGGTTTGTTCCATAGAGTTAAAATCTTAAATGTCATAAACACACTATATATTTTATTTACAGTTGGTATATCACTATATACAGTATGCATTTGTTTCATGAAAAATAAGGAATTTTAAAATTTCAATTAGACATAACATAGAATAAGCACTGTATCCTCGGTAGAGATAATGTTTAACTTTAATTTACTTTCCTAAGGGACATGTACAGCAACTGTAAATTTTTTGGGGAAAAGGTTGGTCTGCGTTTTTGCTTCAATTTAAACCTCGGTGTCTTAAATACTGATATTTACTAAATCTGTTCTTTATTAATCTGTTTCCAGATGTTAATCTGTGGTAGATTTTAAGTCAATCATGACATTATTTGTTAATTTCAAACCTAACACTTTTTGCAGAGCCAGAAGCAATTAAAGTGCTTTCGTTAAAGATGTTAAGATTTTACTTAAGGGTTTAATTGAGTAATTTAGAGCTCAGCTGGAAGAAAAGATACAGAGGCGTAATATAGGGATTGAAAAACTGCTATAAAATTAAAATGTGCCTGGTACTGCCTCAATCCTATGAACTGATGAACAAAGAAGTTAAAACATTTGTTACTTGACTTTTGTTGTAGGAGACTTTTGTTGTTTTCCAAAAGGGATGAGTTGTAATGGACCCATATGCAGTTTTATGTCAGACCTGCAAAACCCACAGTCTGTAAAATGCAGTAAACTCAGGGCAGTCAGTTAACGAGACACTCCTCTCAATACAGATTGCCTTCTCCCTCGTAAAGCCTACTTATTGTTTTTGTTTTTCAACATTCATGATTATATATTGAAGGCAGCTCATTACAGAAATTTGAGAGTCACTGGTCTCTCAAAACCCTGAAGGAAAGATATAAATTACAAAGAAAAAAAAATGGTTTCATGTTTCTTCCACTCCGTTGAAAACCGTTTCTTATTTAATGAAAGCTTTCATTTTTCTTAGGCCGGGTGAGCCATATATGGGCAAAGCTCAGAACTCCAGATCTGTAAGGCAGGAGTGTACTCACATAGCTCTAATTCTGAGCACTACTCTATGACCTTCTTTCCCAAGACTATATTAAAAGAACTGAAATCCCAGAAGGTATTTATGGATGTTTTCAATAGCCTTCATGAAAATTCTCAGAGATAATTGAACTCACATATTATTTTATAATTACAAGACATAATAAGTAATCAGTTTGGACACTCAGATCTCTGTGAAAAAGCCCTGAATTATATACTGCATATTCATGCATAGGTTTATGCAATGCCACAAGGTCGCAATTTCTTTGCTTGTCAAACCACGGGATCACAAACTCTCTGTCATTACTTTACTGTAGCACTCGGAAACCTATGCAGAGAATAATATGACTCTGGCAGTACTAAGCCGATTACAGTCTTCTCATTCTGCCATGTATTTGAAGTGAAAGCTGCACACCAGTATGTGTAGTGCTCCTGAGACCAAGTGTAGCTCTCTGCAGACCAGACATTTTCCAGAACAAACCTGCCTGCACAACTGCTCCTCGTGTACACAGACCTCCACAGTGTCTTCCAGGATGTATGGAATTAATTGCGCTTGCTTTGTAAATCAACCGGGATGCGCTAACTGGTGCTTGCAAGGCGTTCTCCATGAGTCAAGGTTTTTTTTAAGAAACAAAGATGTAGAAAGTGAGAAGATGTTAACAAACTGTCAATCTGTTGGCTGTTTTCATAAATAGCCCTATGTTTCTCAGTAATGTTTGTATTGGTGGTGGTGGAGGGGAGTCCCCATTACCTGTAAAGTGCTTTGAGTGGAGTGTCCAGAAAAGCGCTATATAGGTGTAAGCAATTATTATTAATTATTATTTTAGTTAGTTATTTAGTCATGTGCTGCAAAACAAAATGATAAAAATACAAAGTATTATTATGCTGCTGATGTAAAATAGAGTTGTGGGCTATGTCTGAATGTTGTTCTGAATATTTAAGTAAAAAAGATATACGAACATGAATTTATCAGTGCATGACAAATAACCTGATTGTGACAATATCAATATCAATATGCAAACATTATGCAGGGGTCCCTAAGCCAGTCAAAGAATCCAGTGTGATTTGTAGGTCTCCTGAAATCCTCAACAGTGCAAGACCTCAGGGAGAGGGTTAAACATGCTCAATTAAGGATCAATAAGAGTGATGTAACACTTCTGCACAGCTCTGAAGCTGTTATGAGTAACAGTGAGACACAGTGGGAAAATTCATGACTGGCCATGGTTGCAGCAGTTACTAGGAGGGGTTAAGAGCTAGTTCACTATGCAAATGTTTATTAGAATGACATCAGTTTTTCTCTAAACATTGCATGACATCCTGCCAAAGTAGAGCCCTTCAGGCGTGCCAATGGAAATCCAACTTAGAATATGGAAAACACCTGCAGTGCTGTTCCCGTGGAGAATCGCTGCAGTAGGCTGTGGGCCACAGATAGCGCTCTTCAGCTTTGATCATTCCAAAATCCTTGTGGAAATCAACTGCTAGAGTTGACAAAGGGGCCTTTCTCTTTGTGTTAATGAATAAATGAATAAGTTGAGAACCTTAATGGCAAAAATGAGCACAAAAACTTTCATTAAACAACAACGTACAGCAGAACACGAGAGAGGGACACAAAATAACTGCCTGCCTGGGAACAGAAGAGATGCCATCAATCCTTTCGATGTAGGACAGCAAAGAAAAATGTTGAATATTGTAAATCATGGAGTTTATGTTTTTTAAGAGTTTTGCTACTGCAATAACGAATGTAACTGGTGTAAAAGTAAATGTGAAGAGGAAAAAACAGACAGTGGTGTGTTGTGGAGCCAGCTGACACTTCTGCTGGTCCTGTTGGTCCTTCATATGGGCTACAAAATCATGTAAATTTGAAAATTAGGAGAATAGAGTTCTGATCCGTAAAATCTGGTCCAGTGAGCGTATGGCAGGACTTGGATAACTGCTAACATGTTGAATTTTCTTTGTCTTGTTTAAGTGCTCTTATTGGGACATCTATCCATTCATTATCTTTCCAAATAGAAAGGCCTACAAACCATTTAATCATTTTAACAATACGCTTCTTTTTGTGTTGCATTTGTGAATGAAACATTATATCAAATTAAAAATAAGTTGCCCATTCATGATAGAATAAGTGTAGTTACCTAACACTAGCAACTCTTATAGTAAATGTTTGTATAAAAAAAGTATATCAGTAATCAACAATGCAAGTAGACGGCACAGCCATAAGTAACAGTGTAATGAGGTTCAGCAGCAACCATTCCATTACATACATTAGGGCTGTTATGGGACCTCACAATAAGATGAAACAAAATACTTTAGCTCTATTCTCAGCAGCAAGGAGAGGGAAATGAAATCTGCAGCACAACACAAAGCACAAAATGCAGCAAGATAGGCAGCGGTACAAACACAGGGTGACAAGCAGCTTGACTTGGTGCATCTGGTCCAGACAGTGTGAAGACCGATATTTATACTACAGGCTAGGAAAGTCCATGGGAATCCTAGAGACTCCAGGAGTCATTGATTAAAGCAAGAGCTACATCTATCGTTATCTGAATTCAAAAGGAGTTCATTCTCAGTAAGCAGGTCTGACACTTTTCATAATATCCAATACTTGTAATTTAGGAAATTATGAAATGTGTGATAACTGATTACTGCCAATGAGCTCCATTTGTGCTGCACAGATATCATAGCCCTCTCATGGCTGATTGTTTCAATATGGTAGAACTCGATATTTTTCTTGACTTCTAACATCCTTAGATAGCGTCTCTAATATCTGTGAGTAACAGAAACTTATTATGCATAATAGAAGAGCAAAAGTAGCAAAGAAAATGAATTAACTTTGTTTCTTTGGTGGTCATAACCCATCTGAAAGGAAGTTAATTTCCCATGGCAACACTGGAAAAACATTGCTATAGGCCACATTCATCGCAGAGCCACTGAAGACTGTATTGTTCAGTGATGGAGGAATAATGTTCGTGTTCATGATCCTAACACCTGTTTGGTTACACAGTTAACTTGAGGTCTTTGAAATCAAGAATTGGTAAACAGTAACTTGAATGCACCTGATGTTTCTTTCACAGGCTTTTGAAATAGTTTAGATTATGCTCAATTACTGCTTCCAGATGACTGCAGGATTCATTCAATCCAGTCCTTTTGTTTTCAGCAAACTTTCAAGTTGCAGACTTCCAGTTTTAACAGTAAATATTACAACACAGCTGCAGAAGCTCAAGAACACCTTGTGTCAGTCTTTCCTAAACCACAGTTCCAGGGATATTTTTAATTTTTGTTTTCACTGTATGAAACAGGAAATTCTTAAGCATTACCTTCTTTACAAATATTCATTATTACAGCAGTAATCCAAAGTGCAGGTGAAACACACCTGCATGCACACACATGTAATCTGAACAATACACACGTACAGAAAGCTCACCAACTGTTACTACCTATTGTTGTGACATTTTTATTTTTCAAGGTGTTTTTACCACACCTTGAATTTCAAGTATTATTCTGCTGACATTTATGCTTCTAGTCAACCTGAACATAACATAGTTTTCAATCTCTTCCTGTGGTATAAAAGTCAGGGATACCTTATTTGGTTAACAAACACTGCACAGAAGTGCTCTTGCATGGCTGTAAACCACCTGTTATGATTTATAAATGATGTAAACATGCTGCTACATAGCATAGTTAAGGATACTGTCCACTGAAGGTATAGTTCAACAAGGCTTGTACTGTATATTCAATGCAGCCACATGTTATAGTGTAACTTTTCAGCTTTTTATTATCCATGTCACAAGGATAGTATTTTATGCAACACTGCTATGCACAAGGTCGACTGCCATTGTCAGCTGAAATTAAATGACCAAAAACCTCCTTTCTTTCACTATGTATGCTTCCCCAGTACAAAGCCAGCATCTGTAAGGGAGACTCCTTACCTGGAAAATGAGCACCTTAAAGTTGTTCCTCTTGAGAAGGTGGGCATGGTTGGCCTCTAGCTTCTTGACCTGGACAGCCTGCTTGTCCATCTTGTCCTTGACCTCTTTCATGTGGACAGAGACCTTGCGGGACTTCTCTAACAGCTTGCTGACCGTGTTGGAGGTGGAGGTGTGGCTCTTGGACAGCTTGGTCATGTCGCTTTGGATTCCCCTCACTGCAGTTTCCATCTCTGCCTGCCGCTGCTCCATCTTGTGCTGGTTCTCCTGCACCGTGTCCAGCATGTTGACCAGCTTGTCCAGCAGCGTCAGCACTGTGATGGCATTGACCTGTGAGGAGCCTTCCCCTCCGGCCTCTCCAGTGCCCTTCCCGGCTGCCCCACCCGTGCCCAGCTGGTTGAGACTGTGGCTGGGGGAGGACTGAGTAGGACTCGGGCTGGGCACCACCAGATCCTGGGTCTCATGGGAATTGACTGCGCTGCTTCGCTCTGCCTGAACACCGTCTTCACCCATCTTTACACTGTGCGCAGAATGCTTGCTCTCTCCCTTAGCCCTGGAGCCTGATTTTCACTTTTCTCTTTTGCTTCACCACTCAAATGCTTAAGGCTGTTTATTCTTCACCCTTCTTCGTGTTGTCTCTTCTCGTGAGTTTCTTGTCTTGTCCCACCTAATAATACAAAAAGGAATGGAACCGTCGAAGTTTGCTCTCTTTTTTTCCCTCTGAAGCAGGCTTTAGGAAAAGTTTGCTTCTTTACTGCACAGCCTAATGTTCCCTCCCCTTTCCACAGAGTCCTCGTTTCTCCCTCTCTCAGTTCAGGCAGCTGCGCAGAGTCCAAAGCACAGCAGCATTCCTAGCCCTGTGCTTTAAAAGCTTCTTCCCCACCCAGTGGGAGGTGACTTTTTTTGCTTCAACCACCAGCTAGTTCAGCCCCGGAGGGTGAGTGTTTGGCTTTTTGTGCATGCCTTCGTGTGTGTGTCTGTCTAGTCTTTCTGTGTTTATACATAGTGAATTACAGTACCAACTACTTTCTCTACTCCCTTTCACACCACTTCGCATTTTTAAGAGGTGAAGTTTAGGCTCCATCTCTCCCCTCTTCTTGCAAACTAGGTACAGATAATGTGAAAAGGCATATTTCAATAATGACTTCATCTCTGCCACTGCAAAACACCCACCCCATGGCCACCTGCCATAGGTTGCCCTTGGCTGTGCTTAAAGCACCGTGGTAATGGCTGGCACAAGGTGTTTTTATTTCTGGAAAATGAGGGTTCCTCAAGGCTGTTCTGTTGCACAGACCACAGGGAAGGGAGCATCACGGGGTACTTTGTTACTGTAGTTTTCCTGTAGCAATACCTAAGACCATAACAGTAAACATTGCTTAGGATTAGAAAGGTGTGTTCATTTCACTTTTTTTGGCAAAGTATAAGTAAAACCTTGTTAATCGAAATGGCAGATGCCATAGAAAAAAACAAAAAACCAAGATGGTATACTTATATTTTTATGGAGAAAAGAATGTAAACAATTTGAGATACAGTACAGATATATCATTGCAACACATTGTGCATTGCTGCTATTCAGAACAGTTGTTAGGGCTCTGGACTTAAAACTAGAAAATTGTAGTAGATTTCAGTCCCATGTGGGACAGTACATGGGATTAAATTCCATTTAAACAACACCTTTCACTTATATTGCTCCAATAAAATGCCCAGTTGTATACTGTAAATATGTACAAATGATAGTCTAAGACGGTACGGTGGCATAATGGATAGCACTGCTATCTTACAGTTTCTGAGTCCTGGGTTCAGTTCTAGATTGAAGTACCTTCTGTGTGTGGTTTTTACATTCTAAACCCCTTTGCTCTGGTTTCTTCCAACTCCACAAAGAAAGTCTGTCCAGGTTAATTGGCATCTTTAAATTGTCCTTTATGTGCAGGGTTCACTGAATGAGTACTGTATGTGTAATGGAGTGTTGCCTGATGTTTAGTCCCACCTTAGGTCCTCTGGCTGCCAATTTAAGCTCTGCCTTACCATAGCCTGCTATTGTTACAACATTATCTGCTTTTGCTAGAAAAACATCAGCCAAATAAGGAGTTGCAGTAGAAGTATGCCAAATTAGTACTCACAATCATCCAAGCAGTGTCTGCATAATAATATCTTAATAAACAATGCAGTTTGAATCATGGACTGTAGCTTGTCACTGATTTGAATTCCGTTCACAGGGGTGGGCTCTATTGTCCAATTGGCTAACTACACACAGACAAGATATTATTAAGGAATGGGTTCCTCCCCTGAAATTCAGAAGAAACAGAGTGTTCATAGTTATAGGGGACATTATAAATCTTTATATTCTATGTAGTATGATTGTTGTGACTTGTTTACTTTTTAAATAAGTAGTGGAAATTATAAAAATTCAGATATTTTTTTGTTGTTGTGGTAGAATTTCTTATGAGACATTAAGGTTTAACAGATTATGCAAATATTTTAGCTAATGAGCACAATAAAGTAGTCTGGTATTTACATGTTTTGTCTGATGTTTTTACAGGTATAATGTGTAACTGAATAAGAAATTTAAATTTTCATTACTAATGCCTTGTTATCCCAGCATTTTACAAAAGTGACAATGCTATCAGGTGGTGTTTTGGAAGAGATTAATCACTCTTAGTGTTTTATTTACACATTTAGAAAATTACTTTTTGTTTTCTTCAGGAGGTGCATATTATGAATTGTAAATAGACTATACTGAAGACTGCAAAGTAACAGATGATAATGTGACACCTGAAAGCTAGATACTGTAAGTAAATTAAATGCATGTTGCCTTTTGCTCGGATTGGTTGTGATCTTGGGTTTCACAGTTATGTTGATGAAATTAAGATTTACGTGCAGTACAAATGAAAAACTATGGCTGTAGTTTCTGCACTTTACAGGTGTCTGTCTTCTATTAAGACATGGATGTTAAACAACAGCTTTGTCTTAACCTATACTGTGAGTGAAGTTAAACTCATAGATCTCCCAACACCATCTCTGCAAAGTCGATGACTTCAGTGTTGTTGTTGATGATGCCAAAATTAAGCAATTTGCAGAAGTTAGAAACTTTGGTACTTCTGACCCTGTGGTGTAATTTGAAGCTCATGTGAGGAATCGCACCAGGGTGTCTTTTTTCCACCTGCCTAACATTACTCTGTTAAAGATATTTGCTCTATCCAAAGCCTTTATTTATTGCGCCCAGTGAAATTCAGGTCGGAAACTAAGGTTCTCCTGCCCACATGTAATGTAATTATTGTATGTGCATTGGCCAGTACAATCTAAGATCTGCTGATTTATTTATTTCTCAGCTGAAAACAAAACAATTTCAAAGTCTCTTCAAATTTAGATATTTTGCTAATACTAATAATGCTGTTTATAATTTAGTATTAATTTAGTATTGTTCAGATTACATTAGTATTAATTTTAATGCTGCTATTTGTGTTACATGTTTGCTATTGTATGGCACTATGAGGTTTTGAAAAGTGCTTACATTTGGTGTATTATTATTGCTCCTCTCAGACATCCACTATTCCACTCACACCTTGGTTTCTGGCTAAAGGACTGTAGTAAACACATTATTATTTTATTTGGAGATGTGATGTTTTTTTTTCCATTTTGTATTTCTTTAAAAAGGCTTGATGGAAAAAATCTGCAATGTCACACAGGTCTAGCAAGGAATGATATGAAAATGGTAAGCAATGGTAAATGGTAAACAGTGATCAAAACCCATAAAGAATGTCAGGCTGTTAAGAAAAAGAAAACTAACACGTTCAGGAGAAATTATTTTGTATTACAGTTTATTTTATCACAGTGTGTAAAATGGAGTGACTTCTTCCACTTTTCTATGGATAAACACTTCCAAGTGTTTATTGACAAAAAGTACAAGTTTGTAATAAATATTCTAGGCAAAAAGCACTGTACTGAGTGAAGACATGCAGCCTTTATGACCAAATTGCTAAGATTACACTACGTTTGCAGAATGTCTTAACTGAGTTTGTGCTTCAGAAAAACCGAGAGCCAGAACAGACATATATCACAGAAGAATCTTATGTTAACGTGTGTCAAATTTAAATAGCTTTCCAAAGAGATGGAAAGATGGAAACTCCCCTCCTTTATCCTGTGATGGTTTATTTAAAAATATATATATACTGTATGAATTTTGTATCTTAAAACGTCAGAAAAATGGTCTTTGGTTTCAGTTCAAATAAAAATAACTGAAATCATTATAAATGGGAAAAAATTACCCTGCACACCCTCAGGTCATTAAGGAAACCGGGCACCATTGATCCAAAATTTTAAAATAGCTACTTCTCAGAAAAGCAGGCAGCTTGTGGTGGTCCATAGTGAGAGTGAGGGTAACTTTTAATGACAACCAAGCTGAAAACAGCTGCTGAAACTTAGCCTTTCACTGCTGAGGAGGAAATTTATCACAGCTTCCAGAAAATAGGTCACCTAGTTGTAGTTCAGCAACTCATTTTATATAATAATAATTTGTGAATAATATTCTGAAATTAGAAATTCAGTACATGATTACTGCGGAGGATAAGGTGATGAGCCCTGTCTAATTCTGTCTTATGTTTATATGCAGCGCCGGCATCTAAACTGCATGCTGCTTCTCTCACTCCAAATTCACACACGAGGGTTTGGAAGGTAAAACTGTAAAGCCAGACGAAATCTTAAAAATGCTTGAGTGCTGCAAACCAACCCATTGAAGCTGTTCCCACCCAGCCCACACAATGCCTTAATTGCAGTCACTTCCTCTAAAGAGCTGCCAAATCCATTGTGTTTGGAAGCCTCCATGAGGTCACCTTTCCTTTGCAGCACTGAAGCTTGTGGAAACGTTGGTCCCGTGAGGTCATACGCGATCCCATCTGCTTTCTCTGAACCCTGGCCTGCAGTCCCCAGCAGCCCCTTCACTGAAACATTAAACGGATATGCGATGGAAAAAATAAAATAATGCCTGCACTATATATTCTGTCTTAACATATGATATGCTGTAAGACCTAAAAATACCAATAAAAACATTTTCCATGTTAGGCAGCTGACATCACCTAATTGTCAACCAGCTACTCCTACTTAGAGTAGCCTTCTAATGATCATCGCAGTGGAAAAAAAGCACCTTACAGAAGAATTACTAATATTAACATAATCCCGATTATTATAATAACAGTGAAAAGATAAGAACACATTTACATTATCTAGTCAGAAACATACTTACCCCCACATTCCTCTGAGGGAATCTGGAGAGCGCACAGCCCCCCCTTGTGTCTAGCTCATGCAATGACTTTGAATTTTACAGGTCACTCAACTAGGTGTGATCACTACCTCACTGTTCCACTGAGAGGTGACTTCAGTTGTGAACTACAAATCTTGTGTAAGAGGAGAGACATAATTAATTTATTGTAACATATTAATGACTGAGTATTTGGCATCAAAGCATGAACTGAACTGAAGTACCTAAAAAAGCACAGAAATGTTCGTTACCTTAGGCAGAGTGAAGGATGATCGACATTTATATTTTTAGGAACAAGTAATAGGTTTATTCCATGCTGAAAACACAACGTTTTGGCCTTGGAGCCTTCTTCAGGTGTGTTTTATTTATATTTTTATTTCACTTACAACTTTAGGTTCAATGGAGACCTAGTATTTATTGAAATAAGACTACAACCTCTGACAATAACAACAACAACAATAAATAATTTTTAATTATTAAAATAATTAACATTTTTACAATTTTTATAATGTTTTTTTGCCTCATTCAGTTTTAAAAAGCTTGATGCACAGAGTCATAGGACCATATTCACATCTTCCATTTTCATATACAAGTGG